TTACCGCCGCTGATTTCCTTTCTAGAAGGCTAGAAGGCTTTTGGACTCGCTGAATGCTATGGTTGGTTGACATTGCAAAAGATAGGATATCACTTTTCGTTTTCATTGAGCAAGATGAGTATAATGTATCATGCGGTGCTATGCGGACCACTTTTCATAATGAAATATTTACTCATTTATAATTGTTATACTTTAGTTTGTGCTTGTTTTTTTTTATATTATTTTATATTCCCTAAGCAATGAAATGTTTTTGTGTTATGAAAGTGGGATAACAACCATTGTTTTTTTTTCATATTCCAGCCTTCTCCTGAAATTGAATCTTCCAAAGAAGCGATTCCTGAAGAACTTTCAGAATCTGCTGAGCTCAAATTAGAAAGTTCAGAAACTGTTGATTCAAAATCAGAAGCCACTACTTGTTTATAGTTTATAGAGAATGTGTTATTTTCCATTTGGACTCTTCGAAAGAGATGCTTTGTTGTTAATCCGCAAGTCACAGACTGGAATCGGGTGTTCCAGGATTGATATATGGTCTCATTTACATTATGATTCCAGCCATCATCTCCTGTGAAAGCCCAGGGGCTGATGCGGGTCTTTTTTAATATATTATGCAGTTTGGTTATCTTTGGGATTAGATAATAATAACACCAATCGACCCAACCGGAAATGAAGAATAACATTGAAATTTATATTGTTAGCAGTATGGTTCATTCAAGAATATGAAAGAATATGCGCAATGCCACATGAGATTTTCAAAACTTTACGCAACAAATACATCGTCTGTTTTTCTGGCTCCAGATGGCATTGAGGTCATCGATATATTTCCGAATTCAAAAGCGTATGAAAAAATTTCATCTCAGATTTTAGCAATACCAGATACCTTTCTTGTATAATGGAAGTTTGTAAATGAAGCTATTTGATTGGATTGAGCGCTAGCGAATATAACCAATCAAAAGTCTTTCTGTCGAGGATCTGATCGGCTGTATTCACTGGCGTTTAGGTTTTGAAAAGGCTCCGACTGTGCAAACAGAATATATCCAACAGACAATACATATTTTTTGTTTATGAATTGTGATAATGTTGAATATGTAAATATATGTAAATTTATGTAAATATTATTTAAATGGTTGAAAATAGTGTTCCTGAATTTCCAAATGAATTTATAATATAGATAATGATAATGATAATATATTTATAAGTATTCATCTGATAGGCTATTTACTCTATTTAGGTAGATCGGTTAGTTGTATGTAAATATTCTGACTACATAATAATGAGTATTAAGTTGATATACGAGTTTGTTAA